TCTTAAATATGCTACAGAAGAGGCATCAGAGACCACATGTAACTGAATATCGCTTAATTTTCGATCTAAAGTAAAATATTGTCATATGATTTCGACTTTATAAATGTCTTTTAAATCTTTAAGCAAATCTGCCATTTCTCATTTATGAAATCTGGAATTTGGTCATCACATTCCAATTTGACTCTTTCAGAGATTTTGTAAAAGCACTTTACCTTGAATCGGAAAATTCGCTATGAGTCCCAGAGGTTCAAAGATGGACGTAACGACCTTTAAGATCTCCCTTTATGTTGATCTTCTTTTGTTTTTTAAAATATCGGAGCTAATTTTATGAAAAAATTTAGTTTTAAAGCTAAATACATCTCTTTGTGGATTCCAAAATACCCCTAACACTCTCACTATATGAGATGTTTCTACATTTTGCAATTAAAGTCACGTCAATGTCTTGGAGAACTTCTTGGTGGTTTGTAATCCACCTTGATTTTGTACATAGATTACATCTCAGACGAGCTTTTGAGCTTCTTCAAGAGCGTCTGCTCCCCCCAAGTATTCATCCATGAAATGTTGCCCCACAATGGCTTTAGTTGCTTTGGGATATGTCATATTGAATTCGAGAGCATTTATATTTTTTGCACTTTGACATATACAAGGTCCACTTGTCGAGTAAAATAAATACTCCAATTTCGTACACGTGAGGCTCAACGTCTCGATTCATTGCCCTCCACAAAATACGCTGAGCATAACAGTCTTGTGGTCTTACCCTGACTTGTAAAAACATTTCTTTAATATCTGCTGTGAAAGCGTATTTTTTAATCGTAAAATTCATCAAAATTTTCTAGAGTTATAAAGATCTGGGCCAGTTAATAAGCAGTCATTTAAAGAAATTCCGTTACTCTTGCATCAAAAACAATACGTAATTTATTTGGTTTATTTGGATTTGTTATTCTAAAATGTGGTAAATACCAAATTTTATTAGCTATAATATTAATTTCGCTTTCCGAAAGTTTTCTAATGTAACCTTTAGTCTCTAAATCTTAAAATTTTTTACAATATGTCTTACCAAATGAAGAAATTTTATCCATGTTTTTCTCTATACATTTTAAGGCAATTATTTTATTTTCAAGGACTAAATTATTATATTTCCACAGGTGACCCGTTTCAATATTTTTTACCTACTATTTTCATAGTTTGGTCTAAAATCTGTTGCGCCCTCTTATCCTCCACAGATAAAACCTTTAGATTTTGCAGAATTGAATCAATTTTCTAAAATTCCTTTACCATGTTGTGAAGTATGTCTATTTCATCCATTTCTTTACTAATGATGTGAAAAACAAAATTATGTTTTAAATTATTATCAATATTACCATGCAAAACCCAACCTAAAAAAGTCTTACTTAGTGCTGGTCCTCTCCATGGTCCACTTATACATTTTCTATTGACTAGAAGATGCCAGTTGTCTTGTCCAATAATAATTTTAGGTTGAGCGTTTGTCATTGAAAGAATTTGATTGCCAATAAAAGGATATTTATTTCTTAGTTCTTCCACATCAATAATTTGAGTCGGAAGAGATAACATGACGTAATTGAAAACTACGAGTGTTTTCCAGATTATATATACAGTGTGGAAACCACTTATGGAATAAAATTCTTTATGTCATTATTTTAGAAAATTATAAAAAATGCCGAGACATGTCAACTTTTGAATTGAGTTGTGCGTTATGTAAACATAAATTTAAATGTACAGGGTGATTCACGCAAGTATGCCATAGTCGGTGTTGTTTTTTTTTTAATGAAACACCCTGTATATTTGCATACATACATTATTCAGTTTGTTGGAATCGGTTCATTAAGAGGATTTCAAAAATATGCAAATATACAGGGTGTTTCATTAAAAAAAAAACAACACCGACTATGGCATACTTGCGTGAATCACCCTGTACATTTAAATTTATGTTTACATAACGCACAACTCAATTCAAAAGTTGACGTGTCTCGGCATTTTTTACAATTTTTTAAAATAATGACATAAAGAATTTTATTCCATAAGTGGTTTCCACACTGTATAAAAACTAACTACAAGTGAATTATTTTGTCTTTGGATGATGTTGTCATTTGTCCATTGAAGACAAAGGGGATTAACAGGTTCTGAGAAGCCTATAGAGTCAGCAAGATCCTAGACAATTAAAGAAATTGTTGATGCATCGTCTAAAAATGCGTACGATTTTACAATCTGAGTACCACAGTTGGTTTCTGAATGATTATTTTCCGTGAAATCGTTTAGATTTGTGCTTTATGCTGAACTTTCAATTTGGTTGTGTAGCAGCTCATGATGAGCTCGCTTGCATCCGTTGATATTACAAGTTTTCTTTTTTCTACAAGATTTTAAAATATGAAATGGCGTAAGACATGAGAAGCATACTTTATTGGTTATAATGAACTTCCAACGTTCTTCAACTGAAAATGCCTTGAATTTTAAATATAAATCTAAATGTTGTCTTTCACCGTAACAAAAAATGCAGTTTTTGGTACCTGCTTTTGTAGTCCAGGTAGTGTCTTTTTTGAAACTTCTAATTTGTCATTGTCAAAATATGAAATTCTGTTTTTGGTGTCTGAATTAAAGAAATTATATTTGCTTTTTTATTTAGCCAATTTGAAAATTCTACTAATTTAAATTTAGGTTTATCTACGGTCGAAAGGTGTTCTGTCTAAGAAATTTTGTGAGATGTAGGTAATTTAGATAAAATATCATTTAAAAGGAGAGGATTTTGTAAATGTTCATCTTTATTTAAATTGTTGCGATAAAATTACTTACCTCATCACAAAGAAGGTCTAGTTTCTCTTCTTTTATTACAGGAAATCGTTTCAAATTACTTTAACATATAAATGATATGTTCTGAACGCCCAAAACGAAATTCAAGTAAGTCAATAATCTTTTGTACATTTGTTGGCATTTCCTTTAAGGCATTTTTGAAGTCGACATTGATTTTCCTCATTAGAGAATCCATAAATACCATTTGAATTATGTAATTGATAGATAAAGTTAGGCCAGTCTAACGGATTTCCATTAAAATATTGAAGATCCTTCGGAACTGACTGTCTGGACAAAATTTTTGGTATTTGAGGAATTGTCACCTGATCATGATTGCTTTGAGTAATGTCGGGGTAGAGATTTATCTTGCTTGTACATGCAACCTGTCCCATGGAGTTTTGCCATTGATCCATTATTCCACGTTAGGTCTTGTTTTATGTACCGCCTCCAGTACCTCATCACTTTCGCTGTTCTCCTCGTCTATCTTTGCCAGATTTAGTGCTAGCTCCAAGACCATAAGTTCTTGTTCTAGCTTTTTCTTCCTTATCTGACATTCAATTTCTGCAATCCTTCTTCTTGACGTCTTGCTATTTTTAGTATGTGACGAATCACTTTCTCTATCTCCCATATGGCTTGTTTCCTGCGGTGCCACTACAACTGATGGAACTAAACCTTCTGAGCGGAATGCCCTGTTTTTTTCAAGGAGTCTTTACTGTATCTAATTTCCTCTGTCCTTGGTTTCACTATATTGTAAATTCTATTTCGACTCAAGGACCAACTATTCTTTATTTTAATAGTAATAGTAATTTTAGTTGAAAATGATACACACAGATTGTCTGTCTGAAAAACGTCTATTTCTTTTTTTTACAGTTACATAAAACATAATTAAAACCATAGTAACATACATTAAAGAACTTAATCTTAATCTTTAATAGTTATAATACCAAAAAGAGTATATAGTACAAATATTATAAACTCCTAAAATTTTATTTTAATGGAATAATAAAATTTCCAAAGAGGACTTTGCATATATATGCCTCTTCCTTTATATTCATATTTACTATAATTTTTTTGAAATCCTAAATCACCTCTGAACTTTTCCACATATTAAACGAAACACCACACCCTGTATGCAGACTTTCCTGAGAAAAACTTACTATAATGAGCTTGGAGCAAGGCGTTTGCTTAGAGAGATCGATATTCAATTTTCTTTACACTTCTTATTACTGTTACTCTGTACGATTCTTAAATAAGATTTAGTTGCAAATCCCACGTTCTTATTTAAAACTTTAGAAATAAAAATAGACACTATTTTCCTACAATCTATGTCTAAAAATTTCAGCGAAGCGTTGAGGTTTTCCATAATTTTAACAATTTTCGGTTATTTATAAATAATTAATTGCCGCTTATAAATCTCTGGCTCACTATTGAAACATAATTAATATCACAAACCTTATAAATTATGAAACCTCTTTCGAAATGTTCATAAAATTAAATGACATCTTCGAAATATGCCCTAATGATCAAAAATGTAATTTATTCACTGCAAGGATTTTTTAATTACAAATTTGAAAAGAAGTCAAACATGTTACTGCACATTAATAACTTCCTAAAACAGGAAATTGAAGAAAATTAGCTAATTTCCAAAATTTTATCAACTTTTCCTAATGAGTATAAACATTTTTCGACTTCTTGGGATTCTTTACAAATTTCCGAAAAAACGTTGACAAAAATAACAGCCATAGTGGTACAGAGGGTACATAGGATACATCAATCTGCTTACTGGGATTAAATCTTTACTATGATAACAAGTAAATGAGATATCGACTATAACCAGTGACAACCTAAAGTTACTCATGTCTTGGCTGTCTCTGATATAACTCAATTGAGTGGATTTCTTGTAAAATAAAATGTAAACCTAGAAAATTATGAATAAATAAATTTGGTTAGGTTTACCGGTAAATTAATTTTAAAACTTAATTGATTATAGATAATTGTTATCTTTAATAAATAAACAAAATTGGAATCACTTTTAGTTACGCCACTGATACCAGGTAACCATCGAGAAGAGAATTATTAGGGAAAACCATGCTACAAGAGTAAACACTAATATAAAATCAAGCCACGGTGAGGCCGATTGCGGAAAAATGCGAGATAATCTACGAAAAGAGGATTGAAAGCTTTTGTATTTTCAGATGTGCCCATTCTCCACCTGTCTCTGGGCTCCAACCTCAATCCCGACGACATAGAAGAGGGAGATGACGTTTATTTTGAATGCAAAGTGAACGCCAACCCTTGGGCATACAAAGTACTCTGGAAGCACAACGTAAGTTTTAGTTTTTGATATTTTTTTTATTGTAATTTCTTTTTCAGAATGTTAGCGAGTATATGAATAGATGAAAAAGCAAAAACTAGCTCAAAAATAGTTTTTATTTTGAAATATCTCGAAAACTGGTTAAATTACGGAAAAAATTCGTTATTAATTAAAAGTTTTTAATAATGACGCTAAATATGTGTAAAATAAGAGTAAAATTATTATAAGATAGTTGAAAAAGCAAGATAAACAAAAACTAGTCCAAAAATCTTTTCTACTTTGAAATATCTCGAAAACTAGTTTAATTAGGGAAAAAAATCATTATGAATTAGAAGTTTTAGGCAATGACGCTAAATAGCTGTAAAATATGAGAAATTTATTATAAAATAGATACAAAAGAAAGACAAAAACTAGTCTAAAAATACTTTCTATTTTGAAATATCTCGAAAACTGGTTTCAATTGCAGAAAACAATCGTTATAAAATAGAAGTTATGAGTAATGACGCTGAATAGTTATAAAATAAAAGTAATATTAATATTATATAGTTGAAGTAAGGTAGACAAAAACTAGTCCAAAGATATTTTTATTTTGAAATATCTCGAAAACTGGTCAAGTTACAGAAAAAAAATCATTAAAAATTAAAAGTTATAAGTAATAACGCCAAATAGATGTAAAGTAAGAGAATGTTTCTTATAAAATAGACGAAAAATCAAGATATACAAAAACTAGTCCAAAAATCTTTCCTATTTTGAATATCTCGATAACTGAACAACTGAATTTTACTTTGTTGTAGACTGCTATAGATTTTATCAACGATTAAATATATTAGAAAAATTGTGTACACATTAATTTTGATTGAAGGAATTCCAAAGGTTTTCCGGAACTTTCAAAGGAATTCCGGGAAGTTTGAAAGAATTCAGGGACTCTCGAAGGAATTTCTTACTATCTACCTTGCAGGAATATAAAAAAACCACAATGTTTTGAAAAACAAAAAGAAATGACAATTCGTATTTTATTCTAAATTTGAAACTTTTGATGCACGCTCTTGGCCGGCGATTTCGCGACATTAGAGAATTTGTGTACACATTAATTTTGATTTCAGGAATTCTAAAGATTTTCCGGGACTTCCAAAGGCATTCCGGGAATTTCAAAAGAATTCAGGGACTTCCGAAGAAATTCCTTAATATCTAAAAATTTTTAAAAAAAATTTCTGAAAAAAAAAATGACAATTCGTATTTTATTCTAAATTTAAAACTTTTGATGCAAGCTGGTAGCCCGCCATCTTGCTCCATGGTAATTACCGACCTAACTATCTTGAATCTTCCGGGCTACTTCGGGAGGAATCTTTCTTACGACTTGTTGCTGCGGCTAAGCCTCAAATATCACGGGCCGTGTGATGCCAGCTTTATAAATCTGGCCTATTGAACATTTGTAAGCTTGAAGATCGTAGTGCCGTTAGAAGCGAACATTCACTCATTAAAAATTAAATAAACTTTTCCTACTTAACGTTTTAACAGGCTTCTACAAGATTTTACAGGATTTTAGAGGATTTTAGAGGATTTTAGAGGATTTTAGAGGATTTTAGAGGATTTTACAGGATTTTACAGGATTTTAGAAGATTTTAGAAGATTTTAGAGGATTTTACAGAATTTTACAGGATTTTATAGGATTTTATAGGATTTTATAGGATTTTATAGGATTTTACAGGATTTTACATGATTTTACATGATTTTACATGATTTTACAGGATTTTACAGAATTTTAAAAGATTTTAGAGGATTCTAGAGGATTTTAGATGATTTTAAAGGATTTTATAGAATTTTAGAGAATTTTAGAAAATTTTAGAAAATTTTACACGATTTCACAGGATTTTTAGAGTATTTTAGAGAATTTTATATGATTTTAGAGGATTTTACAGGATTTAATAAGATTTTAGAGGATTTTACAGGATTTTAGAGAATTTTAGAGGATTTTAGAAAATTTTACAAGATTTTACAAAATTTTACAGGATTTTAGAAAATTTTATAAAATTTTAAGGATTTTACAGGTTTTTACAGGATTTTACAGAATTTTACAAAATTTTACAGAAATTTACAGGATTTTACAGGATTTTATAGGATTTTACAGGCTTTTATAGGATTTTACTGGAATTTATAGGATTCTATAGAATATTACAGGATTTTACAGAATTTTACACTCTTATAGACTTTTACAGGCTTTTACATGCCTTTACAAGCTTTAATAAGCTTTTACAGTCTTTTCAAACTAGTCTTTAATGCGTAAGTGTAAATGAAGCTGCTATGCTATAGGATCGGGAAAAAAGATGATGATAAAACTAGAGGTATTTTTCTGAAACTAAAAGATTGCACTAGTAAACTAATCATCTATGAAAAAAACATTGATATACTAAAACCAGAGACCAACTAGCTTCCCTAAGAATGACCTAGAAAGAATATTCCACTGACCCAATTGATATGTATAAATAACACTACCTCGTAGACGCAATTACTCTCAAGTGGGCGTGGCCTTATGGTCGAAGTAGCTAATCAGATATGGTGATAAGTTGAGTAGTGGGGGCTCCCAAGTGGCCCATTACCTACTGACTAGCTTGTTGTTTCAATTTTCTGAGACAAAGAAACTATTTTTGGATTGACTAGACCACCAATAGCCTTAAAGTAGTCGAAAAGAACGAGATTCTTGTGAGAATGGTTTTAATTTTGCATTATTGTTACTTTCTGTTATTGTATTGATAATTACATTAGGGAAACATTCACTGGTGTTGTTGCCCTTGTAGTCAATAGCAACAAGAATGGATGTATTACTAATTGTTATAGAGTCTTCTAATTGATAACCAGCTAAACAGCATGACTGTATTACGGGTTTCCAGCAAAATTTCGGATAAAGCAAGGTCTTTAAACTGGGTATTATCGATATTATAAGCGCTTCAAAGCGTTTATAGTAAAGCATATGTCGAAAATCAAGTCAAAATAACAGTTTTCCTACTCGCCTAAAAAAGAGAATTGCACTGTTCGATGCACAAGCACCAAAAAGTGTGTTTTTAAAAATTTCCAAACATAAACTGTGTATATTCACTTTAAAAAACAATAAACACTGTTCACAAGGATTTAATCGATTTAAATACATTTAAATCAGTAGCGGAACTCATAATCAAAATTTACCAAATAAAAACCTACAGAAAAACAAATTTAAATAGAACTTGGAACTAATCTAGACATTTTTTCATATTGTATGATTTAACATAGACCATTAATAATGAATAATAATAGTAATATTAATAATAATAAAATGTCGCTTGTGTTTTATATTGTAATTCGTAAAATTTTGTATACAATTATGCACAGTAGGTCATGTTAATCACCGGCAATTCTCAACATTCGCTTCCATCCGCAATTCCGTAATTTAGCAATTCGGTTGCAGATCCAAAGACAAACATTTTATCTAATTACTTTTAAGAAATCGAGATTTCCTCATAATATAGCCATTTAAGCCAGGCATATCCCAAATTCGAGCCGAATGTTCTCTTTTAATTAAGTTAATTAAAAGTGAGACCGTGGTTGCTGAACAATAGACTCCAACAGCAGCTAAATATGCTTTTTAAACAGAAACGAAGGGGTGCACAGTGAGATTAAAGTATGAAACAGCAGACAGAAATTTAAATTATACTTTTATTTTAGTTAAGCATCTATATACCTAAAGTTATTAGTTTTTCAATGTAAATGGCAAAAAACGTAATGAATTTACTAATTACTAATTAAAATTTAATCATCTGTAATTTATTATCGACCGAATAATGTTTTTGACAATTTCTAATGGGATTTTTACATTCATTAAAAAATAATTACCAATAGCAACCAATCATGGGAGTAACAAAGGGGGGAGAGGGCAGCTATCCCTCTGCTCAATCGCTGCAAGCTTGAAAATGTCTGCAATCTGACCTTCAGATACTAAGCAACACCAAAACTGTTCTGGGATTCGTCACAGATTTGTAGTTTTCTATCACACTCCTTTTTATTAGGTTCACGTATTATTTGTTATATCAAAATTTTAAATTTTGAAAATTATCGGTATGTTTTTATTCATTTATACAAAGAAATTGTGACCAGAAACATCTGTTTTTGGCCCACTTTGAAGTGGATTGGACATCGAATTACCGACTACCCAGTTTTGTTCGCATTTATTTTTATGTCAGTAAGTCAGAATTTATAGCATCTTAGCTTTTTTATAAGATGCTCATCATTCATGTTATTATTAATCTGCCTAATGATGTAAAATATTATTTTCAAATTCTCTAACTCATTGAATGTTTGATTTTACAATATTTTTTTGGTGGTTAAGAAATCTTTATTACATAATGTAGGTAGAGATGAAAATAAAATAGTAATTTGTACAGGGACAATCCAGTTGAGTTTTATAGTTTATTTTTTCTATGATTCGCTAACTAAAATTTACAAATTTTAAAAATTATTTTAGGTTATTAAGATAAAATAACAAAAAAAAAACAAGATTGAATTTAATTTGTCCAAGATTTGTCCCCATTCTAGATTTGAATCCGAGGCCTTTGACGTTTTTACTTTAATACTCGTAATGATTAAATTGGCTTCATATGGTTTTATAAAATTAATTAATTTCTATTATAATTATAGACGAAATCAAAATAGAAATATTAATATTTATCGATTCTACACAAAAATAACTTAATTTCACGCATGTTTAATCTCAATAACTAAATAATATACTGACAATAAGTTACTTATTTATTTAAATGGTGAAGAAAATAGCTACTATACTAATATAATCAATGAAAAGATGGCAGAAGAAATAAAAAATGTTTCGCAAATAATAATTCCAAGCATAGAAAAACAGATAGAAGGTTTAAAGGTTTAAAGCAGCAAAAGCAAATAGTAAAAACAATGTTATTAAAGGAGATAGAAAATAATAGGATGAATAGAATTGTAAACGGATACATAGGATAGAAAATAGAAAATAAATT